TGTTGACCAGGATGGTCTCGATCTCTTGACCTCGTGATCCACCCGCCTCGGCCTCCCACAGTGCTGGGATTACAGGCGTGAGCCACCGCGCCCGGCAAAAACATTTATTTATTTAGAGACAGTCTTACTTTGTCACCCAGGTTGGAGTGCAGTGCCTCAGCCACCACTATTGGCGAAATTTTTATATTTTTTGTTAGAAATAGGACTTTATCATGTTGCCCAGGCTGGTCTTGAACTCTGGCTCAAGTGATCCCTCTTCAGCCTCCCAAAGTGTTGGGATTACAGGCCTATTTTAATAGGTTAGCCACTTTGCCTGGCCTTTTTTTTTTTTGTATGTTTATTTTTTTTGAGACAGAATTTCTCTCTGTAGCCCAGGCTGGAGTGCAGTGGCGCAATCTTGGCCCATTCCAAGCTCCACCTCCCAGGTTCAAGTGATTCTCCTGTCTCAGCCTCCCGAGTGGCTGGGATTACAGGCACCTGCCACTGCGCCAGGCTAATTTTTGTATTTTTAGTAGAGAAGGGGTTTCACCATGTTGGCCAGTTTGGTCTTGAACTCCTGACCTCGGTGATCCACCCACCTGGGCCTCCCAAAGTGTTGGGAGTACAGGTGTGAGCCACCATGTCTGGCCCCCTTTTTTTTGTTTTAATTTGAGACAGTGTCTCACCCTGTCGCCTGGTCTGGAGTGCAGTGCAACGATTTTAGCTCACTGCAGCCTTGACCTCCTGGGCTCAAGTGGTCCTCCCACCTCAGCCTTCTGAGCAGCTGGGATACAAGTGCATGCTCCATACCAGCTGTGTTCAGATGGGTACGTGCAGCATGTGTATGGGCAGGGCTGTACAGACAGGTGTGTGTGTGGGCACGTGTGTGTAGCAGGTGTATTCAGCTAAGGTGTGTGCAGCAGGTGTGTGTGCGTGTGTGTGTGTAGCAAAGCAAAGGGAGCCCCAGAAGGGTAGGTTCTTGAGAGGATGTGGGGCCAACAGTGGTATTTGGGGCAGGAGTTAAACTGCAGGAGGACCCCAGACCAAAGGTGTGGCTGCATGAAGGCCAAGTGGCCACTGGAGGCAGAGGCTGCCCAGGGAGAAGAGCCACTGGGGAGGGCAGGCTGGGAGGCAGGTACCCCTGAAGCGTCAGGCGGTCAGTGGCTAGAGCTGGCAGTGGGCGGGGCAGGGGGCTGGCCCGTCCACCTGTTACCTGAGCTCCGCCTTTCTCTCTTAAGGGGAGCTTCCCAGCAGGCAGCATGTCCCTGTGGGACCCTCAGCCCAAAGAGGCCTTTCCCTCTGTGCTCTGGTGTTCTGGGCTGGAGTCCCTGGCAGGACTGTGGGCAGAGAGATCCCAGAGTCCAGGAGAGGAGAGGTGACTTTGTGAGCAAACTGGGTGCTGTTACAGGCAGGGAGCCCCTGGCCCTGCCTGGACCCCACTCCTGGCCTGGGTTGGGGCAAAGAGTTCCAGGGCTGGGAGCTGGTTTTCTGCTCTTTGCTGGTTTGGCCTTTGAGTCCTGGGCTTCTGTTCACATGTGGTGTTTGAAGGCTGGACTGTTGACGTGAGGTGGAGCGGGCCAGAGAGAACTCGAAGCCTCAGTGCTCTTGGCCCTCTGTGAGGGCTGCAGCCGTGTCCCCTGGAGTATCTGGAGCCTCGTGCCCTGGGGGTGGGCAGGGGAGTTGCTTACGCTAAAAGCCCCCTCCTGGGAATCCTGAGACTCCCCTCCCCCAGCACCTAGAGTTGCCCCCTCCAGAGCAGGGCCAGGCTGGAGACCAGCCTTGTCGGCATCCCCACCTTGGGGTTGTGACCTCAGCTGGAGAGAGGACACTCCAGCCAGCCAGCGTGAGAGTCCGAGCCTCAAAATAGACTCCCTTTCCCATAGCTGTGGAATCCCCTGGGCTCAGAGGCCATAAGCAGCAGCCCAGGGTCCTGGTCACCAGGTTAGGCCCAGCAGCTTTCTCCAGGGTCACTCCCAATGATCACCGGTGGAGTTGGAGTTTGGTTCCATCTCCAGGGCACTGATGTGGCTCATGCTCCAGGGAACCAGGAAGCCGGGCCTGGGTAGGTGCTGGGGAGCAGGCATCACTGTGAAGAAGCTCATCCCCATTTTACAGGCAGGAAATCAAGGTTCAGCAGAAGCTGCGTGCCCAGGCCTGCAGCGGGGAGAGCAGGGTCAGTTTCCTCAGGGGCTGCAGGCCGTCTGCTACAGTGAGAGGCAGTCCCACATCAGGGATGCTGACAGTGCCCCCCAGCCCATGGGAGGGACCCAGCCTCAGTGGTCCCGGTGCTGAGGCTGAGGACCGCGTCTTGCAGAGCTAAGGCCACTGAGTGGGCTTAATTGCTTCAAGTCATGCGTGTGTCTGGCTGGCTCTGGCCGGCTCCCTGCTGCCTCCTAGGGTTGCCTGGAGCCCACTGGCTGCCCATGGCTGGACCCCAACCTGTGGGGGACTCCCTGGTGGTCAGGGGGACCTGCACTTTGTTCACATCTGAAGGGAGGAGGCAGCTATGCCCTGCGCCTCGCTCACCCCACCCCTGGAGAGGGTGGCCGTGCGTCCTGCTCCTACACTGGCTTGTGTTTCAGAGGCTGAGGGGATCTGGCGGTGGAGCGCTAGGATCAGACGCCCCCGCGATGACCAGGTGGGTTTCAGGCAGGTGGGGTGGCCTCCACTGGGGCAGGGGTGTGGTCTCCCACCCTGCTACCTGCCCTGCCTCATGCGCTGGGGTTCCCCAGCTCCCCCGTCTCCAGAGTCGTGTACAACGGCAAGAGGACCAGCAGCCCCCGCTCCCCACCCAGCAGCAGCGAGATCTTCACCCCTGCCCACGAGGAGAACGTGCGCTTCATTTACGAAGGTGGGTGTGCATCCTTGGTCCTTGTCGGAGTCAGCTCTGCCCCCAGCCTGGGACCCAGGCTCCGAGGAACCTCCTGCAGCCCCCGCCCCGTCCCCTCCAGGGTGCGGATACCCCATCACTGCATCCACAGCCTTCAGGGCCCAGGCGGGTGGGGGTGACCGAGGGGACCCTGCGTGGAGAGACCTGGTTCTGATCTTGTGGGGAGCCCGGTAGGAGGGGTTGAGAGCGGGCCGTGCCCTGGTAGAGGCCGTGGTGGGAGCCAGTTATCAGTGCTGGCAGCGCTAGAGGAGTTTGCTGGGGAAAGGGAGAAGCCTTTGAAGAGAGATGGGGATGCACCCAGCCATGAGTGGGTGTGCTGCAGAAGTGCCACGGGTTGTTGTCTGGGACTGGGGGAGTGTGCATGTGTGCTGGGGCTGGGGAGGCGTTTGGATGAGGTGGGAAAGGCGGAGGCCTAGCTGAGGAGGACACGCTGCCCCGAGGCACCAGGAAGCCTGGGGTAGGGTCATAGGGGTCCCTCTGACCACGGTGCTGGTCATTGTGTAGGGAAAGGACAGGCCTGCCGGAGGAGCAGGGACGGGGTCTATGGGTGAGTGAGGCTGGGGTGGGCAGAGGGCTGTGGAGGGAGCTCGGAGGACACTTCTGAGGGAGAAAAGGTCTGGGAGGGCAGGAGCTGAGGGCAGGCGCTCTCCTGGTGCGGATGCCACCCCCTCTGTGCGTGGGGCTCTGAGCACTCTGCCCTCTGTCTCTGCAGCCTGGCAGGGCGTGGAGCGAGAGCTGCGCAGCCAGGTGCCGGGTGGCGAGCGGGGCCTGGTGGAGGAGTACGTGGAGAAGGTCCCTAACCCCAGCCTGAAGAGTGAGTGTGGGCTGACCTGGGGATGGGCTGGGCGGACAGGCTGGGCCGTGTGGGCTGGAGGGTCCTGTGCCTGCCCCTACCGAGTTGTTCCCTGGCAGCCTTCAAGCCCATCGACCTGAGCGATCTGAAGCGCCGGAGCACTCAGGATGCCAAGAAGTCCTAGAGCGCCAGGCGCCCCTCCACGGCCTCCGGAAGATCAGGGTGCCAGGTGTCGGTTCCCTCCTGTCCCTTGGCTCTGCTCCTGGGATGGGGGTTCTTGCTCCAGCAGGCTGCAGACCCCAGGACCGGCGTGACTGACGGCTCAGGCCTGCCCCTGCTCCCCAATCCCCCTTCCTTCCTCCTTGGGGGTCTCAAGCTGCCCCCGTCATGGGGGTCTGGGCCCTGCCCACCCTCCCACCTCCCCCAGCCACCTGGCTGCATCTTTGAAGCTGCCTGGCCCCCAGGGGACCTGACCTGACCTCTCTCCTCTCCCCTCATCCCCCTCCTCTCCCGTCCCTGGCCACTGCAGGATCAGGAGGGGAGAAGAATGAGTCTTTGCTGCCTCCCAGGCTGCTGAGACTGGGCTGTTTTTGTCTTTGAAGTGGCCAGGACACAGGACAAGGGCAGCCCCACCTCATCCAGCTTGGGTCCCCCGAAGACCCTTGCTGCTCCTGTGGCCTGGACATGCTGGGGAGCTTCTCACCCCTACCCCCACCATCTAGCCTGGCCCCTTCCCTGACTTAGCTTCAAGATGGCACCAGCTCTCTGGGCCTAGGATACTGCCAGGCCCCCCAAAGGGGTCCCTAGCAACTAGGCCTAGCCGCGTAGTGTCTGCAGCCACAGTGGCCCCGTGGGCATGGGCACCCAGGCTGACCCTGAGGTGCTGCTGCTGGGTCTGTCCTGGCTTGGGGGTGTGCTGGGAGGGTCACCAGGGCCCCTTTTTCTTCCTGTGCCCTCTGAAAGCCAAGTGTCTGTGTGGCTGTGGAGCGTGAGGGTCTATGAATAAAGGCAGTGGCACTGGGTGTGGCCTCCCGGCAGTCTGTCAGGCCTCTGCCCCAAAGCACACACATGCACAGCTCCCAGGTAGGGCTGGAAACTCCAGGTCACTGTGAAGGCTCCTCAGGCCCAGAAATTCTCAGTCTGCGCTACTGGGGGTGCTCAGGCCTCCTAGGGAGCATTCTGGAGGGAGAGGCTGGGCTGCCCAATGTCACCACCCTTGTCCCACTACACGGGCTCCCCAAGGGGCCCCAGGGGTACTTGGCGTCACCCTGAACCTACCCTCTGGGGCACTCTCTGTGGCTCCGCCAGGGAGTTGGCTCCTCCCTTGTCCAGATAGAGGGGGTGCTGCTGGGCCCGGGGGAGACCTGGTTGCACTTGACCTTGAAACCTGGAAGCTGCCCTGGCAGGCCAGACACGGAGCTGTATTCCTGCTGCTGTTAGAAGCCAGACTGGAATTGATTCCAGGAACACCCTTTCCCAGAAGAATGTTTGGAGCGTGAGTGGCCCCACAGGCGCCTCCTGGCGGGTGGGCTGGTGCAGGAGATGCTGGCTCAGAGCCGGCCTCCCTGCGGAGGAGGAGGAGCGGGGAAGGGTGTTCCGGTAATAATCCAGCCCAGCTGCTGCCTGGCGACCCGTGTGCCCTACTGGTACCCAGCCCCAAGCCAGCTCCCTCTAAACTCATGGGCTTATCTAGCCCCTGTGGGGCCTGTGAGTCCTTCAAGGACCGTTTGAGAGCCCACCAGGCTAGGGTGACCCAAGCTGCCTCCCGCTGTCGCTGCTGCAGCTTGAGGGATGAGGGGTGGGTAGCTCACGGTGGTCCTCAGGCTGAGGCTGTGGAGGGGCAACCGCCGGGACGAGAACCCTGACCCCAAAGCAAAGCTCCCCTCCCAGTGAGGTCAGCCCTGCAGCCCCACAGCGTGGTCTTACCCAGCAGTTTGTAGTCACAAAGGGGGGTTTCCACATTCAGCTTGAGCAGGTAAAGGACTGGGGCACAGAAGCTAGAGTGGACACCTGCCCCCCTGGGCTGCGGGAGCTAACCGTGGGACCTGATCCCCAGAGGGTCACGGTCCTCCCACCCCAGCCTGTTCTTTAGCCCTGCTGCTGGGCTAAGTGGCTGGAGACGCTCCCCCTTCTTCAGTGACGGCAGCTGGGGGAAATGAGGCAGCCGTGACCACTGCGTGTTGTGCCGTTGCCATCCACGCGTGCACACGCCACTATCTGCTGTCACTTGATGTTGGCAACTCCATGGGGCACATTTTAGCCCAATTTACAAGTGAGGAAATAGTGATCTCTTTTGGGGGGCTAAGCTCTTATGAAGATTGTAATTAATGCTTACTGAGCATGAGCAATTTCCTGATAGTCAATACACCCGGCTATTTGCCTGAGGGCTGAGTCGATACGCTCCAGGTGGGCTGTTGGCTCGGCGCGGAGGGCAGAGTGTGCGTGTCCCTAAGCCTCTCAGTAATGTGCCACTCCTCTTCTATTCATGTGAGGACTCTTGGGCATTGGACAGTCGTGTAGCCCACATTCTGCCTTTGGCTGCTGCATCCTCGTGGTGTCTACAGGCCCCTCTGTCCCCTGTTCTGTAAAGTGAGGTGCAGTGCAGAGGCCTGATCAGGTTCATAGGAGACTTCGGGTGTCAAAGCATCTGGCTATGTGGGAAATGGGCTGCAGGGTCCAGGGCAGAAGCAAGGTCCTGTTAGGAGGCTTCTGCAGTGGATGGTGGAAGAAGTCGGGGGCGGGGTCAGCAGCTGGGTGTGGACGTCCAGGTGTATGTGCAGAGCTGGGTCTAAAGTGTGGATTCAGCAGGGCCACAAGGCTCGGGAGATAGATGAGTTAGATGAGGAGTTAGCTGAGCACTGCTGATTTCTGAAGACTGATAAGAAAGGAGGGTGGTGCTTTTTTCCTGGACGCAACAGGGAGAGGTAAAAAAGAAACAGTGAAGAGCAAGGTCAGAAAGAGCAAGCAGAGGAGGATCAGGGCTGAGTGAGTGCAGGGGGAGGACCTGGGGCTGAGTGAGTGCAGGGGGAGGATGGGTGAGTGCGGGGGGAGGACCCGGGGGCCGAGTGAGTGCGGGGGAAGGACCCGGGGGCTGAGTGAGTGCGGGGGGAGGACTGGGGGCCGACTGAGTGCGGGGGGAGGACCCGGGGCTGAGTGCTGCCAGTGTGTCTGGAGGAGGCTGAGCCGGCTCACGTAGTGGACCTGCACCCTCAGGCGTCTCCCACCCACCTTGCCTAGAAAATGACCACTTTGAACTCTTCATTTTTGTGTTTTAAATTTTGGTCTGTATTTTTATTTCTAACGTGAATTACTTCATGCTTTTCTCATTTTGTTCTCTCCAGCACCCCCAGTACGTAACAAAGTATTCTTGTCCACCACCGTCCCTAGTTCTTTTTTTGCTCATGATTTTGGTTACATCAGTGTTAGTGTTTACATTACGATGTCTGTGTTTGTATTCAGAACTGAGTCATGTGGCAAATTCTACTCGTTTTGTTCTTTTCTGACCAACTTTTTCTTTTCTTTGGAGTTATTATTTGCCTTCTTTTTTCATTTGTTTAATTTTCATGTACTAGTCACTGAGGCCTGAACTCTCTCCTCTACATCTTAGTGCATTCAGTCACGTTCATCCCCTTGAGGGTGTCTCCTGAGCCTTCTGCCTGGCTCAAGGTCCCCATTCCTGTGGCGCACCCCCGACTCTCCTAGATGTGGCCCTTGATGTAGTTCCTGTTTTCCTTGTTCTTGGTCTCCACTCTGAGTAGTATGTGTGTGTGTGTGTGTGTGTGCACACACCAGATTCCAGGTGGTCAGAGTCCTCTCCCTCCCAGCCATGCACGCAGATGGCACACAGCTCTTGCAAATACCCCTTTGGGATGCCGGGCATCACATACTTGCCCCACTGGACACACACAGGTATGCGTTTCCCTTCCTTCATGTTCACACGGCCCTCCCCTGTGCAGTGTGCGCTCTCACACACACCCTGCTGGCAATACACATGCATTCCTTTGGGAGTAGGGGGCTGAGGCACCGGAGGTAGAGGTGGGAGGGGAGGTAGAGATGGGGAATGGGCAGGTGGCCCAAGTTGGAGGGAGATACTGTGGACTGAGTTAAAAAATGGGTTCCAGCTGGGCGTGGTGACTCATGCCTGTAATCCCAGCACTTTGGGAAGCTGCAGTGGGCAGATCACTTGAGGTCAGGAGTTCAAGACCAGCCTGGCTAACATGACAGAACCCCGTCTCTACTAAAAATACAAAAATTAGCCGGGTGTTGAGGCACATGCCTGCAATCCCAGCTGCTCGAGAGGCTGAGGCAGAGAATCACTTGAACTTGGGAGGCGGAGATTGCAGTGAGCTGAGATCATGCCACTGCACTCCAACCTGGGCAACAGAGCAAGACTCTGTCTCTAAAAAAAAAAAAAGGTGGGTCCCTCCACCTATCTGCCTGCGGGGCTGCCTGGTTAGGGCCAGTGTGTATTGCAGAGGTAAGTCCAGCCCCTGCCAGGCCCCCAACTGTGCCGGACTCCACCAGCCTGCTGCAGTTCCCTTGGGGACGAGGACTGGACAAGGGTGAAAGAGGACAAGGGCAAAGGGACTCGGGATGGGGAGGGCTGTCAGGAAGCCACAGGTGAGGGGCACACTCCCCAGGGCAGTTACCAGCCTTGAGCTCAGCTGGCGTGAAGGAGAATGCCAACCTCCCTGTGCTGACTTGGAACAGCCTCGTCCCCACACGGGCACCTGGGCGTCCAGGGCTCAGAGGACAGCCAGGACCTAAGGCTGGTGGGGCCTAGAGCTGGCCTGAAGTCTTAAGGGCAAAGACCACAGGCCTCTAGCAGGTGCCACTGGAGGGACCGTCTCCTGGGCTTGCAGCCCCCACCAATCACAGTAACCACAGGGCCCGAGGCTTGCAGGCAGGCCCTGTGGTGGGTGGCAGGGTGAGGGCCCCCCCAGGAGGGCCCCAGTGCCTGGCGGGTGAGTAATTCTATTTACCTTTCCACAGCAGCCTCCTGTACCCTCATTTGCTCCAATTAGTCCGGCTCTGCCTGAGTGGCTCCAGCCCACGTGGCCCATGCAGGGGCTGTGAGCACCCCCTCCCCCAGGGCCCAGCTGCACCTCCCAGCAGCTCCTCAGAGCAGGGCCAACTGGCTGGCTCCTTCCCCAGCCCATGCACACACCTCAGCAGGTCTCACAGCGCCTGCTGCAGGGACCACCCGGAGGGCTGACCTCATGGGCATCCACCCTGGACTTGTCTCCACCCTTGCTGTGTGGTCCTGGGGACCTTAGACTCAGGGTGTGCCCCAGACAATAGGAGCCCCCACCCTGAAGCACCTCCTGTGTACAAGAGGCAGCTCTCTTCTGGTGCTCCCTGGCTGGCAAGCAGGGTGCCCACCCGCCACATGGTAGCACAAAGCCTGGCATGGGCTGGACCTTTCTGTGTGGCATGGGGGCTGCCCCTTCACCTGGACTCATGGCAATGTTCAGGCCCATTTCTTCCTGCCTCAGTCTGCTGGTGGCCTGCAAATTGCCCGAGGCAGCTGGAGTGGAGATGAAGTGGCGGCCAGGGGGCTCAGGAAGGGTAGGCCTCCACGGAGAAGATGCCCTCAGGTGAATCTGGTGCCGATGGGTTCCACAGGGGGACTGATGTCGCATGTTCCCTTAGCCACTGTGCCCCTCACATCTCTGCTGGTGAATGGGGACCCTCTGGTGGTGAAAGGGTCCAGGGGGACTGCCTGCCAGAACCAGGAGGGGAAGGTGCCCAGGGCCTGCTCGGATGGGCACAAGCTGGCCGCCCTCTGGGGTTCCAGTGCCAGCTGTGTGAGCTGGGCATTGGGGGACCCTCAGCACCCATGCTGGTGCTGACCACCCACCGCTGTTCCGTCCCCCACTGCTCCGGCCTCAGCTCTTCTAGCCCTGCTTTCCAGGACACGCATGGTGGCCACCTGAGCTCTTTATTGTTGGAGGACATTTCCACACATGTAGGACATCACGGCACACATGGGGACACACGCGTGCAGTTCACAGCACAGTACCCCACCCCTGCTCTTGACTCCTCTGCTCGCCCCTGCACCAGGGACAGAGCAGGCACAGGGAGGGGAGGCCCCACCTCACAGATCATCACACTGGGGGTGGGGGTAGGTGGAGGCTGCTGTTGGCCCCCCCACCCCAGCCTCAGCTGGGCATCCAGTTCTGGGTTCAGCGCCACCCTCTGGGTGTCTGAGTCCAGCTCTAGCTGGGGTCCCAGCAGGGTTCAGAAGGGGCTCTCGGCTAAACTAGAGAGGCCACCGGCCAACGGGGTCGCCACAGATGAATCCTGGCCAGCACCGTGGCTGCCTCCACTGCTCCCAAACCGCAGCTTCCTGCTGGGAGAGCTGAGGCCGGGCGCAGACGAGGCCTTGTGGCTGCTAGTGTTCTGCTCCTCCTGTAGCGCTTTGCCCAGGCGCCAGCGGTGCCAGCGCCGCCGCAGCTCTGACTGTACCTGGGGGCAGGGTAAGGCAGGCCAGTCCCAGGGACTGCCTGTCCTCTCTGCCCCGCCGGAACCTGCTGTGGGCCTCACTGGAGATGCCCAGTCTCCGCTCTGAGGCGCACAGAGCTCCCTGGTGGCTCTCTATGCCACACAGCCATTGCCACGGAAAGCACGGTCTGCAGACACCTGGGGACTCCCCACTGTGTATACCCTAATGATGGGGTGGAGGCCAACCTGTATTGGGGGCCTGACACCCAGCACTATGGCAACTGCACCCACTAAGTGCAGGTGGAGGGAAATGCTTGGGCTGTGTGTGCTCCAACCCCTGGGCAGGGGTGGGGCTGGCATCCATGTGCCCCTGACCCTGATGGCCAGGGCTGATGGTCTCAGACATCCCCACTCACACTTACCTCTTTGTTGAGGAAGCAGTAGAGGACAGCCACCAGCAGGCCCTGGAGAGAGAGAGTGGTCAGGAGTGGCACTCTGCACCCTGGGTGGGGGTGCTGGAGGGCGGGCAGGCACCTGGAAGGAGCTGAGGAAGAGGTCGAAGAAGAGCTTGGCAGAGCGCAGGGTGCCCTGGGCGTGCTCGTCTGTCACAAAGGCGAAGACCACTTCGTGGACCCCCAGCAGGGGGATGAGAGTCAGTGTGGACTTGGCCAGCCTGCAGAGGCAGAGCCTGAGCCACCTGCCACCCTCACCCTCAACCCCCACCACTCGTGTGGAGCTTGGAGTCCCCACCCCAGGTCCCCTCTGGCCCCGAGGGTCTCCAGGTCTCCAGGAGCCGGCCAGCCACGGCACCCGCCACCCCTGCCTCTTGGCCCACATCATTCATGTGGAGTTTGGAGTCCCCACCCCAGGTCCCCTCTGGCCCTGAGGGTCTCCAGGTCTCCAGGAGCCAGCCCGCCACGGCACCCACCGGAACTTGTAGTCTGTGTGGTGCATCTGCCGTGCTCGCAGCTTGGCCACAAGCAGATGAACGACGCGGATGAAGATGAATAAGTTGATCTGCGTGAGAAGGGTGCCGGTCAGGGCCACCCCGAGCCCCAGGAGACTCTCCTGCAGGTGGGCCTGGCAGCCAGATAGGCCCTGGGCCACATGGCCCTGGGGATGGTGGGCATCCAGCCGGGGAGGAGCAGCCTGGCTCAGTGCCCAGGGTGCTGGCCAGTGTCCCGGTGTCCTTGATGGGTGCCAGGCTCCCTCCTGGCCCTGCCAGGCAGGATGCTGCTGTCTCCTGGGGCGAGCTGGGACACCAAGGGAGGAGGGGCTTGGGGTGTGCTCCTCGATCTTCATCTCCTCACCAGGATGGCCAGGAAGACGGGGAACCGCAGGATCCACCAGAAGCCCATGTTGTCATTGCTGGTCCAGCACCTGCGATGCCAGACCACTCACATAATGGGGCCCCACTCCTGCCCCTCAGCCCCTCAGCACTCCCAGCCCGATTTTGCCAGGATCTAATTCACACCTCAGTAAAGACAGGGAGAAGGTCGAGAATGACCCCCCTCCCCAAGCATCAGGCTCGTCGCGCGCGAGCCCCTGCCTGCTTCTGGCCAGAGCCCCACTCCCCAGCCCCCAGGCCGCTCCCTGGGCTGCCCGGCTGCTCATACTCACTGGATGTTCTCGAACAGACACTTGACCACCGCCCAGGGGATGACGAACAGCATGGGGGCGCCTGTGGGGGGCAGTAGCTGTGGCTGCAAGGCCGGGCCAGCGTGCCCAACCCCTCCTGTGCCAGCCCACTCACCCCAGCCGATGCCCAGGTAGAGGCGGAAGAAGCTCCTCTCGGGGAGGGTGGCCAGGCCCAGCAGGCTGTGCAGGTATAGGCCCTCCACCAGCAGCCAGCAGTAGTTGGCCACGATGCCGTAATGCATGAACACTGTGGCCACACGGCAGCCGGCCACCGCCTGGCACAGGTGCAGTGTGAGCGTGGCCACGTGGCCACCTGCCTGGCCGTCTGCCCACCCGCCCACCCGCCTTTGTGGGGCCACCCAGGGTGTGGGGCTCACTCCATCACTGAGCCAGATGCTGACACTGAGGTCGTCCTCGATCTTCTGGCTGTAGCGGGTCCTGAGCAGCCCGTCAATGACCAGCACAGAGCCGGCCTTCAGCACGAAGGATGCAAACAGGTTGGCATGGATGGCGTTGCGGGTGCAGTGCAGCTTGCTGTGGGGACAGCCAGTCAACACCGCCCTCCTCCCTGCCCTCTGCAGCCGCCCTGGGCGCTGGCGGGATCCTACCTGAGGCCCCCCAGGAGGGCCAAGGCGAGGAGCAGGGCTCCCAGGGACAGGGTGTAGCCCACCGAGTACATCGCCTGGAAGTTGCTGTACATCCTGGCCACCTCCTTCTGTGAGTCACAGTGGCCTGTGAGGCCGGGTGGAGCCCCTGTGCCCGTCCCCATCCAGACCCACCTTGCCCGCCTGCCCGCCACCGGCTGACCTGGACATCAGTCTCCTCGCCGTCTATCTGGCACTGGGAGGCGTTTCGCCAAGGCTGCCCCCCGGGTCCTCGCACCCACTGCCCATCGGGCCCACATCTCTTGAACACGTAGCGGTGTTGCACTGGGGGTGTGGGGCAGGCTGGGGTCAGCCCCGCCCTAGGCCCACCCCTCCCACAGCCCTGCCCCTCGATGGGTACCTTTGTGGTGCCAAGGCAGGTACCAGGGGCAGGAGATGTTGGCTGTGGTATTTGGGGGAGTGTCCGGCCAACAGGAATACTTGTCGAAGGTTCTGTTGCAGACCAGCTCTGCAGAGTGGGGTGGGGCCGGGCAGAGTGGGGTAGGGCAGGGCAGGAGGAAGGGCTCCCTCAGCAGGTCTCTTTCCTACCTCTGGAAGCCTGAGTCCTGCAGTCACCTCCCCCAGGAGGTGGCCTGGGCTGCTGCCTCCCTTACCTGACCTCCACCTCCCCCACCTGACCTCCACCTCCCCCACCTGACCTCCACCTTCCCCACCAGACCTCCACCCCCACACCTGACCTCCACGTCCCCCACCTGACCTCCACCACCCCCACATCTGACCTCCACCTCCCCCACACCTGACCTCCACCCCCACATCTGACCTCCACCTCCCACACCTGGCTTCCGCCCCCCACACCTGACCTCGTTCCCCCACTTGACCTCCAACTCCCCCACCTGACCTCCACCTCCCCCACCTGACCTCCACGTCCCCCACCTGACCACCACCACCCCCACCTGACCTCCACCTCCCCCACCTGACCTCCACCTCCCCCACCTGACCTCCACCTCCCCCACCTGACCTCCACCTCCCCTAC